CTCATAGATGGCAGGAAGGAAAACAAATACTCTACTGTTTATGCTTTCTGAAGTAAAGTCTTCAAGATAAACAGTGTGTCAGGCTGACAGGTGTGACTTCTTTAGCCTTTGCCTGATGAATTTTTGCATTCACAGCTGAGACTGATAGCCTGAAACTGTTGATGGAAAAACCCTTGTTCAGATTTTAATGGGAATATGAATATCTGGGTTTTAGAAGGGTCTGACTTCTATGCAAGGCATGGGGGAGGATGGTGCTGCAGCTATGCAGGACTGGTGTCTCACTCAAGGTATGCAATATAAGAGCATAGAATTGTCTAGTAAGATGATCAGATGCTTCTTCACCATGATACCTAGAAAGCACAAAGGTTCTTCAGAGGCTTCTTCTTAATTCTTCATAAAAATCCCAAAGAGTCCTACTACCACACCATTCTTGATTTCGGCAGGTTCTTCACTTGCCAGTGTCCAGTTCTTTATGGAACTGTTGCAAGTAAGCACATGACAGGAGTATTAATAGCATCTTGTCCAGGATTTTAGCTTAGGTCAGCCTGGGTCCAAGGAGGACTGAAGCAAGGATGGAGAGACATGTAATTGTATTGAACACAATTAGGAGAAAGAGATGAGCAGGGATCATCTGTACAAGCAATTTCATATTGTCAAAGAAAGACTGCAATCTCCAGGGTAACCAAATATGAAAAAAAGGTTTGCTGAGACCACGCCAGTACATGGAAATTCCAAGAACAACAAGCTAATCCAATAAGATCCAATAAGACATTGAGATTGAGAAGTAGAGAGACAAATTGTGTTCATACTCCATGAAAATACAGAGCAATTGTAAGTCTTATAAACTCTCCAAGATATTTTTTCCTGTCCAAGAAAATCACTTCTGTCTCATATGGCTTGAATTTAAACCAACTAGCTCAAATCCTCACCCTTAACTCAATCACTGAGAAAATAAAGAGAAAGTAAGATCAAAGATCAAAGTGAAGCAGAGGGGCAGCACATGGAGCTGGGCACAAGGATGGAGTGCCAGGCAGATCCAGACACTGCCCCACCACTCCCACATGGGGCTGGGGCCAGATAGGGTTTGTTACCTTGAAAAGCTCTAACAGCAGGAACCAAAGGGGCACCCCCTTCCCTGCCTTAGATTTCCGAAGGGCTGTCACACTTCAGAGGACTTCTCAGTGGCCAGTGGCCCCATGTGGGTGCACCACAGCTCCAAGATGTCACTTCTGTGTTGACAAGCACCTGCAAATGTTTGGGAAGAAGAGAAAAGATATGTGCAACCCTTCACTGCTTCTCTTACACAAAATATTCTACTGCATTAGCAGTCTTTCCAGCTGCTTCAGGGATAGATAATTTCAAGTTTTTCAGAGTAATTATCTGCACAGTCCCTTTTCCCCCCTCTCAAATAGCTGATTTATAAGGTGATGGCAAGACTGTACTCCATCAGGTCACCTAGAAGTGAAGGAGAGATGAAAACTGACTCTAAAATTTTTATTAATTTTTAGGTAGTAAGTTACAAATATTGCTGAGGAAAAGCAAAAAGATTGGAAAGCTCTGAGCCTGCCTTAAATGTAAAACAATGGGAAAATCAGGGCTAGGCTATGACTGAATTGCACAGGAGTCTAGACCACACACACGCAAAAATGTGTAAGTCATTTCAGTGCTCAAGACCAAGCATGGTTTTTTTCATCCCCACAGATGATAACTGGGATGATCAATTCTTCCCCAGAAGTTCATTTTCACTTATAAGAGTGACTTTGTAAAAAAATTTCTTTCCCTGAGTATTCAGTACCTACCATGCTTACTCCAGCGACCATATGTGCAATAATTTTTGCTGTTTTGTTACCACTGAACAGCCAATGGAGTCACAGTCAATTCCAAAATGCAAAAAAAGGAGGTTGCAAACAAGAAAAGACTGTGACCAGTAGACTCCGTGCTGTCAGTGGCAACACTCTGCCAACACGACTGGCTGTGACAACAGTGAGCATAGGGAATAAACCAGAAATCCTCTACCCTTCTCCATTTACCACATGTAATCCAGGCTTGGCAATGCCCTGTAAACAAAGAATTCCACATTGCTATTTTTTTTCCAGAAGACCTGCTGTTCTATCCACAACACAGCACAACTGACATACAGCACTTCTAGAAGGGTAAACATTTTCTGGTTTTCTTTTTTTAAAGCTTTTTAAAGACTGAGCTCTCTGCTCTTCTTGCTACCTGAACTTTTCCTAAAGCTTAAACTGCACAGTATCTCCTTTGATGTGTTTGCTCATTTTCTTAAAAAAAAAAATCAATTAAAAATAACCAGGAGGAAAGAGATGGTGTGTCTCTACAAGGCTAGCGTATCAGATATCCTGTGTTATAAATCTACATGAGTGGAATAGTCAAATGAAAAGGCTGAAGTTCAGTTTAGAGGCCCATACCAAAAGAAAATGGAATCACGGTGATAGTGTGGAAAACATTAGGTATAAAGAGATGCAGAGACAGGAGGAGCAGAATGACATCCTTGTTTTGCTTTGCAGAGCCAGGGAGCAACCAGCTGAGCAGGGTGGGGGGAGATGAGCTCCCAGCTGGGCACAAGGCAGAGCAGAGCACGGCTGGTGGCCCTGCAGTTTCCTGCAGCCAGGAGGGTGTTCCTAGAATGTCTGAAAGGCAAACTTGGCAAGTAATATGGGAGCTGGAGGAAAAGGGAGAAGCACTGGGGATTAAAAATGATCACTTTCCAGAAATAACAACAAAAAACAGCCACCAATTTCTCCCTCAACAGAAGACGTGGGGATACCAATATATACCAGCAGTATGATAAACTCACTCACTCACTTCCCCATTCCTGTTAGCTTGCACTGGCTTTTTCACTATTTATCAGAAGGAAAAGGCAGGAGTTTTGTTCACAGAGTGATTTAAATAACAAAGCCTGAACCGAGGAGCATGATGCCCCAGCTCTGCCCCAATGACAAAAGCAACTGGCTGTGAGGCACACTTCCCTATCTGCTGGCAGCACAGTACTCCAACACCAAGGCTGCAGCCACCCACTGCTGGTGCAGGCACAGAACACGACCTTTTCCTCCATAAATAACAGTACTCCATCCAAGTGTCATTATTACATTCTTTCATGTGTGATGCAAGCCATTCCCAGGAATAAATAGTCTGGTTCATGATTATGCAGAGTGGTTTTATTGGGAGACAGTTAAAGAAAACACTGCCCACACCAGATTAGTCATGGACAAATCAGAGAAAACTATGAAATAGCATACACATTTTTTAAGTGTTGCATTAAACACACTTCAAAATCCCAACATCTGACTATTTGTATTCTTTTATGTGTTGCTGCATAATCCCCAGCCTTAGGTTCCAGCAACTGAAAACACTTAAGACTCAGACAAAATGGTGTCAGCCTCCCCAAGTGCCTAGTTGGAGCTGGTGGGGTGAACATGTCCAGTAAATGCTGACTCTAATCTCATTAGGTACAGCCAAGGACTGCTGCCTCATAATACAGAAAAGCAGGAGTTTGCCAAAGAACTGGTTTGCAGTCCAAATCAATACTCAGACAAAAACAATCTCAAAATAGAAACAATGTCCTAATTATATCTCCCCTGAACACTAAAAGAATATTACAGTCATTAAAAATAGAACTTTCAAAAAATGAAGGTCTTTCCAAGGGCTCCAGCCACCGGCCTCTCCCTCCCACACATTTGTAGCACTCATTGCCTTTACTCATCTGTTGTCATCCTCGAGCTGTGAGAGGTCACACATTGAGCCAGCCAAACCAGAAGAGGTACAGGGAGGTCTCCACCCACACACAGGGATTGGAATGTCAGATTAAATCTATTATTTGAAGGAGTGGAGGCCGTCAGAGCTTCCTCAGAAAGAGGCTCAAATCACATTGGGATGGCCACCTATGTTTTTCTGCTGAATTCCTGTGCTTTAGGGAAATTTAGCCAGCATTGAGCAAATCTGATGTTCACCATATAATGCATGGTCCGTATGTCACTCTCTCTTTTGTCCATACTGACTTTAGCTGTCTGGGCAGGGAAAGGATTTGTTTAAATCAAAAATATTTCAGGATCCTCTGCATGTTATTCAAATAGTAAAAACAATTATAGAAATATTTCTGGTTTACCTTCATGTGATGACACTAAGGTAATTCAATTCTCCTTGCTGCCTGTACTAGCACAAAAGGGAAAGAAGAGTAGTATGAAAGAGCAGCCCCATGATAGGGGACAGTTTCCCTTTTACTTTGAGTCCTCTCACTTCCTTTGACACCTTCATTGCACCCACAAGTCTCTTATGGGAGTGAAGGAAAGAGAATAACACTGAGTAACCGATACTGCCACCATGGCAGTGCGTTACTGGAAGGTGTTTGGATACAGTCACCTATAAAGTGTACACAGGAGAGAATGGCAAATGGGGGAATCCTCCCCATGATCTTCACTATAGAGGAATTATCCAAATGGTATTTGAGGTAGTGTCAGTATTTTGACTGAGAAGGAAGCCTGATGAAAGGAGTAATGTTATACGTGGAGGGACAGTGGGGGTAAGAACATACAGAATTCAGAGGCTTCAGACAGACATTCAAAAATCTGTTGCATGGTCTCTCTAGCTCATTGGTTCATAAACTCCAGTGGCCCAGGGGATATTTTACAGCACTCCTGCCTTCTCCCTGATATGGCTTGAAAACAATACAATATTTTGATCTTTAAGCTGTGCCAGCACAAACATCTGCTGAAGAAGAATTAAGAAAAGACCAGCTGTGTGAAGGATAAACAACACAAACTTTATCATGTCTGTTTTTTCCTCTGCTAATAATTTGTTTATTAACAGAACTACTTTATTTTATTGGAAATTCTGGTGTTCAGCTGGTCTCAGTCTATACAAAGAATCTTCTCCCAATGGCATGATGCCAGTCTGTGTCAGCTATGGATCGAGCCCTACATGTAGGAGACATACTGTGTTTCCTATTTTCCAGCCCTTGATCTCTGGGTTATTGTCCATCCTAGGTTTGCCAGAGGTGTCTGCTTGCTGCATAACCGCTTCAAAGGGAGGCTGGACAACTGCTTGAAGGAGGATGCTCAACACATTTGTTCCTGGCCCTTGTACTGGCTTTTATGTGTGCCTTTCACCCTCTCAACCAATCATCACTGTGACCTCAAATCTTGCCTAGGACATGCTGTGAAAGTCCACAGAGCCATCTGAACTCGTTCATGCAGCAGCACAGTGCTGAGAGGGCCGTGGCTGACAAACAAGAAGCACTTCTCCCCTCAGGTGGCCTGCTCTTCCTTGTCAATCACACTGTGGGGAAAAGTAGCTGAAAACCAGCTGTCCTGCCAAAAAGGACAGAAGAGTTTCTTGTGGGCAATGAGAGTTATTTATTTATTTATTTTACTTATTTACCACACTCTAGTAAGAAGTTTGATTTTCCTAAATCTTACAAATCACCTGCCAAGGACACGGAGCATCTGGCTTTCTTCAGCAAATAAATTGCTTGCCGTGTGTCTGCTGTCCAAAAAGACATGCTGCCCCCAAGTTACAGTCCTGAAATGGATTCTGTCAACATGTTTTATCAACTAATAATAATGAAAAACTCCTGTGTTTTTCTTGCAGCTATTTATAAAATGTCTCCAGAAGCCAGACTGTGAATAAACCTCCTTATCCAACTTTTGTTTCTACCCATGCAAATGCTCTTGGGTTTGTTATTGGAGGGCTGTTCACAAACAGCTGGGCTGCTTTTTCAAGCAGCCTTTATTTAAAGGGTTTTGTTCTGAGTACAAAGGCCCAGATTCAGAGATCATTCATGGACTTAAAGTCAAGCATATTCTTGATTACTTTGCTGCACTGAGGCCTAAAGCATTTGCATTGAAGCAAAATACACACAAGCAGCTTTCCAAACAAGCACACACAAGCAGTCTGTGACACGCTGGATGCTGGTAGGCCTGGTGCTGTGGTAGCTGAAGAGTGGATGTAAATTCCCCTCACCCTGTTAAGCTGGTAAGTGAGTCAAAGTAGCTAAATAAATTGGGACAACGACTGTGTATGCACAGCTTTGACTTGGAAGGCGGCTGTGGCAAAATGTGGAGGGAATCCCATCCTCAGAGATTTTCCAAAGGAGCTGGCTGCACAGCTCACATTCAGGCAAAGAGCACCGGGAAGGAATTTTAGCCTTGTGTGGTTTTCAGCCATGCATGCTGCTCCTGGTGCTAAAAAGCCAGGAGCAAACCACCACAATCATTGTGCTCATCACCACCTGCCCTCTCACCCAGCAGCGCTGCATTGGACTCATTGGTAAGAGCTCACTCACTCACAAGTGAAGATCCCCATTGCATTTATCAGGACCATTGCAGGGAACTCCTCATGGGTTTGCTGTGAGCTAACTGGGTGTACTGGAGTATAGCAAGAACTGTTGCTAATTCTCATTAAAGACGAGGATCTGACTCAACCCACACTGAAATCAAGGCAAAGACTCCCACAGATTTAAGAAGGTACTAGATCAAAGTCTCAGACTTGTAAAATCTTCAGGTCAGGGACAACAGCTTTGTCACAATCTATAGTGTGCAGTTAATTTGCTCTCTAAATAATAAGAATTTGGAGGTAATTTGATGGGCGCTTGGGAAAAAGCTTCCAAAACCTTCCAAAGAGCCTTGTTATCCCAGCATACTAACGTATCCTATCAGAGCTGTGTTAATCTTTTAAAATATCTTTGTACAAAGACTGTAAAATCCTAGTTGGTTACGTGGGTTGCAATTTTTCTGTAAAAGCTATTCATATCAGATCAATAGCTCAACTTGGAAAAAATAGTAAAATAAAAAGCCCATCCATCTGTTATTTATTCCTTTGCACATAATCAATTGTTTGCTGCTAATCTCCACTGTACAAAATCTTTGAAATCTTTTACGCACCTCTTTGCATGCTTTTCCTCCAACATGAGATGCAACTCAAAAAGTTACCTTCAAGTTCAGAAGTCAGCTATGGATAGTCAAGCTATCCATCTCTTCCAGGGCTTTGCAGAGGAAAGCAAATAAATGCAGGAATGAAGGACAATGGAATCTCTAAAATACATGACATTTCCTTTGACTTACCAATGGATAGTGCAGTTCACACTTGAGCAGGATTGTAAAAGCTTTTGACAGTTAAATTATGTGATAGATGAGTAATGTGATGATTGACTATCACAATTAATAGGCAAATAATTTATATATATATATATATATATTTAAAGAAAAGTTTTATAGATTTATAGTTATGTTTTAACCCCTTATGTAGCTATCAAGAGACAGCCAGGGTTGGGACATCTGGGAGGGCTGGCTTGTCACTATGGCAACATCTACCTCCAATCAGGATTTGAAGAAGAGATCTCCACCTCTGGACAGCAAAGAAGGGGTTGATGGACAGAACTTTGGGAGGGGTTAAAGGGTTAAAAAGGGGAAAACCTCTATTGTGAGGCAGCTGAGCAAATGACAGGAAAAATATTTTGTTCCCAGCGTTGTAACCTTTTTTCTTTATTCAGTCTTTTGTTGTATTTTGATGAGGTTTAATAAACCTTCCTAAACCATGAAAAGAGAGTAGCGATTTCTCACAATGAGGTGGGGTGGGGATTTTTTTACATAAAGATACTGATTTAGGACTGTTTCTTCCCAGTGAGTGAGGTGTTAGCTCTGCCAGCTTTGAGTGAGACATAGACTGGCTCCTTCAGTCTTACCTGGGAGATGCACAGGGAAGTCACAGGTCTGTCTGACTGCTTTGTGTTAGTGGCAGACTTCTCCTTTCCATCTCTGCAAAACCCTCAAATTACAATTTACTGGCTAAATCAGCCACAAGAACAAAACCTAGAATTCCCCCTGAAATCTTATGTGGCACTTGAGGAAACTAATGGGCAAACCCCCGGCCTGGGGGATACATTTTACTGGAACTGCTTATCCTTGGATCTCTGCTGGGGTACACTATCAGCTTGCCAAGCAGGCTCTTTGAGTGCTCTCATCAGCTGTTGGTACAGATAACTGAAAATTACAAGTAAGGCAAAGCACAACAGATTATCAGTCAAATGCGAGATGCTGATTTCACTGACAGTCAAAAGAAGTCTGCAGTAAGTCAGCTGGTCTCTATTTGCCCTCCACAAACATCTATCGGATTTGCAAGGTGCTCCCAACATCTGGGAATAATGATGTGCAGAACTCCGTGATATCAGAAGACTAATTAATGAGATAATAAATGACTTTATTATACTATACTATACTTGCTACAAAGAATCCTAAAGAATACTACAAGATACGAAAGAAAACTCATGACTGTCTGCTGACAGTCCCGCCACAGCTTGGTCGATAAACAATTCCACCAGAATCCAATCAAGTGATCACCTTGGGTGAACAATCTCCAGAACACTTTCCACACGAGCACAACAACAGGAGCAGCAAATGAGATAAAAATTGTTTCGATCATTCTTTTCTCTGCTTCTCTCACAGCTTCTGTCTGTTCTGTGAATACCACAAACATCACCGAGTTCAGGCACCATCCCGGGAAGAGACAGGGTGCTCGTTTTGCAGCTTTGTAGGCTTAACTGTAGTTGGGCTGGTACTGTAGTTTCCACTGGTAGTTGTGAGCAAAAGTAGTCACAAGTCATTTTCTCTCTCAGCACGCCTCTGAGAACCTTGCAGGATTAGAGGACAGGCTGCTGTGTGTAAGCTGTTCTGCTGGAGGAGGCACACAGCCACGCTCAGAGGGATGAAAGCAGTGTAAATCTGCTTAAAACATCAAAAATTAGGAAGACAGAATAATCTTTACTGAGGTCTCATATATGAGAGGTCCCTATTATAAGATTCATCTGTGTATAATCCTGTTAAGGTTTCAGTGCTTTTCAGACACTTTGTCACAAGGAAAATTTTGCTCAACTGCCTAATTGTTTTTCACTGGAGCAGTTGCTGTCATAAACTCATCTGAAGCTGAAACAAGCTTGTGTGCCCCCCAAATGCCCTCATTAAAGTTCTGCACTTGTCACTTCACCAGAGGAAACCAAAAGTTGTTGTTTTCAGTCCCTATTTCTCAATTTAATTATTCTAAAAGCAAAGATCTTTTACTCAAATGGAAGGTTTTTAAAAATGTACTGAAAAGCTGTAATCTGACCTCCACTGTAAAACTTAAGAAATTCCACAGGTCACTTCTGCAGCCATCACACCTCTAAACAGCCTCCCAGACAGAAAAGCTGCACCAAGGATGAAGTTCTGTTTGAGGGAGTGTTAGTAGTGTTCCACACACTAATTGCAAGGCTCACTTATATTGCCATAAATTCCATAAATTCAGAGTTTCAAGATATCTTAAAAAACACCAGAAAGTGGAACCAAATTGGACAACTCAGTCATGAAAGATCCACCTGAGTCTCACATGAATGAAGCACATTCAACCTCCAGTATCACATGAGATGCTCTGCTGGAATTAATTTTAAATACTTTCTGTCCTCATTCTTCTTTATGGACATTTTTCTTCATCCAGTCTAATTCTCCCTTGATCCATTAGTGTTTTCCAATATTTTTTACCAAATTTTCACTAGTAAGCCAGTGACTTTGACCATCAAACTCTCTAAGACTAGAAGATATTTTTGTATGAGAAGAGATATCATCATACAGATGATTTCTCCTATGTCCATTCTTGCTCAGGACATTACATTTCATCCTCACTGTCTCAGCAGTTCCTGACCCTGAACCATGACAGATCTACTGATAGCGCTGTCCTGATCACTATACCAGAATAAGTTTCAGCTGATGGCTGCCTCACCTCATTTTAAATTGTAACATCCCCCTACCCCCTAATGGGAATTCTCCTAAATCTCTGTTCCGTTGACTAACCTTCTGCCTCTCTGTCACCCCTTCAGACTGCTGTCTGCTTCTATCAGTGTCTCAGTTAGAGCTATCCTTTCATGTTTTAATCCCTGTAACATCCCTATTAAGGTCATCCCTGAGTAGCAGACTGTAGCAAGGACAGCAGAACTTTCCACCCTCCTCTCCAAACAGGGCTGCATAATTGTCCTCAGTGCAACAGAAGACTGTTCTCTGCAAGGAATTCCATGATTTGAGGTTACTTTGAAGGAGGCCTGTGTGAAGTTAGCTGCAAATATCCCCCTTGTGATTCCTTCAAGTAGGGTAGGAATCAAAATTTCTTCTCCATAAAATTAAGGACATACAAATGAGAATAGAACATGTTCTTTCTTCTGTCACACTGAGACCTTGAGTGGATGAGGACTGGAGGTATTTGTGTAGATGTAGTGCTTAGGTTTAGTGGTGGACTTGGCCATCTTAAATTTATCATTGGATTCAATTATCTTAAAGGCCTTTTCCAACTTCAGTGATTCTAGGACTCTCTGCAGTCACCAAACAAGGAAGTGGAAGGATCTTGCAGCTCAACCACCTGCCTGTGCCTCCAGTCACATCCTCCTCTTTGCCTAACAACTGTTTTTAGAAGGATGAATGGTGTCAGCTTTATTCCCACAAGAGGTACAGGGGCCATTTGTGTTAAACAGGAGACAAACCCCAGGAAAGTTCAAGCAAGTGGGAGGTGGATTGAGAAGGGTTGTGCTGGGGTGAAGTGACTTGTTTATTGCCCCATAGCAAGTTACTGCCAGGATGCAGAACAGAATCTCCTCACTTGAACCCCAGTCCTCACCCTCATTTTCAGTCTATTGCTAGTCACTCTGATATCGAGGGTGTTTTCACAATGTGTATAGTTGGACTGAGCTGATTGTCCAGAGGAAAAAAGCTTGCACTAGTAGATCTGAGCTTGACTTTTATCCACATGTAGAGAAGTTCTTTGCTTTTCATAATTCAGCTGGTTGTGAGCATGTTTCCTTAAAGAAAACAAATATTAACTGTCAGAGAAAGATTTGCCCAGTTTGGAATGATATAAATAACCCTTCCCAAAATGTAAAAGCACTGTGATGCTGAAGTGTGTGGATATGCTAAACAAAAGGTTAAGTACATGACTTTGGAATCAAGAATCTGTCTTTCCAAAGGTATAATGATGGGCCTGGGGGGACAATGGTAAGAGCTGACTCACAAGTACAATACAGCACTCAGTGATTTATGAGCTTCCCAAGAGACTTCAGATATCCAGTGTTTGTCATGAGGTCCAGTGAGACACAGAAATCAATGTACTGTAATGAGCATATATTCACCAAAGCAAGTATTGTAGTTACCATCTGTATTTCTTAATGGCACCTTAGTGAGTGGGGTGTCTCCTGGTCACCAATTTTTTGTCTGCATCTCTCTGGTTTTGGTCCATTTCATATCTGTGTTTAAGATGGTGAACTAAAAAGATAATTTGCAACCAGTCTTCCAGAACCAAAGACATTTATTACGTCTTGAAATACCCTGCAGTTTCAATCACATTGTTGTGTGTGCACAAGTTTGACAGAGTAATTGCAACTTTTTTTCTCATACATTGCTGTAACATTTTTCTTCTTAGAGGTTGCAACATAAATACCCACCCTTGACAAAGGTGTCCGAGCTTGCTAGCAGCTGTTGTTACCAGTCCTTGTTCAGAAAGAGCACTACAAGTATACCCAGTCTTGCAGAGCTCTGGTGGAAAATCCCCTTTTGAAAATAGAGCCCCTGTATAGTAATGCAGAGTGACCCCAATGTCTGTGAATAATTGGCATCTTACTCCAAGGCTTCAGAATGCTGAACACTCAGTTCATTAAAACTACATTATATTACATTATAACTACACTACAAAGAATATTAAAGAATACTTACTTCTAACTACTAACCAACTAGAAAACCCATGACTCTCTGCCTGACAGTCCTGACACACACACGTGGATCCAATTGGTCAATGAATCCAAACAACCATCACCAGAATCCAATCAAACAATCACCTTGGGTATGCAATTTCCAGAACACATTCCACATGGGCACAACAACAGGAGCAGCAAATGAGATAAGAATTGTTTTGATCATTCTTTTCTCAGCTTCTCTCTGTTCAGAGGGCATGTGAATACCACACCCGTGTTTCCATGCGGGGTTGTTTATGCCCTGATATAAGAGACACGATACACACAAACAGCCTGGCAGATAGAAGTGCACTTCTTTATTCTGTTTATTAATATATATTTTTGTACCCTTTTGTACCATGTAAATGGAGCAAGCTTTAAAGCATTTGTGTTTTGGGAGATGGCTTGAGTTTCTGGCCATGG